CGATAGAATTAACTTCATCTTCATATATATTCACAATGTGTCATATCTCTATTGATCTTTCAACTGACAGATTCTTCTTCTTTAAAGCACAAGTCATCATTGACAAAGATTATAATTTCTTCAGATTCTCTATCTCTGTCTTTATCAATCTTGAATTATTGATAAGATTCTTTAGAATTCAACCACTCAGTTCTTCCAACACATATATTTCAAGTGAGTGTGATTTGATTACTCAATAGAGATCAAATTATCATGATTGAAACTTCTCTGAACTCTCATTCTGTATGAGAATCCATATTTCAACTTCAAAACTCATTTCACAGACTATATCATCTCATATACACTTCAATATGATAGTTCTGTTAAGAAGAAGTTCATTCATTAATAATTATATATGACTGACATTCTGAATTCACTTATCTGCATTCTCACTAGAGACATCATTCATAAACTGGATCAATAGAATCAGAATTCTGGAACTGGTCCCTCACTTCCTGTCTCATGTCTCTCCCCCAGGATGGGACTGGGTCAAAACTTTGAGTCTGGAATGAAATATGATTCAATAGTGTGTGAGAGAGATGAAACTTGAGACTTGCTTTTCAAAATCTGACAGTTCTGGGATTCCAGCCCTGTCAAATAACTTGGAACTGGGTTCAAACATAAGTAATGAAATGGGTCATGAGACATGATATTGCAGGTGGAATGGGAACAGTTATAAGAGAAAATGGGATTGAGATTCTGATCTTATAGATCATATGATGTCACATGAAAAAGTAATGAATTGTGATAACAGTTCTGATACATTTGAAGCACTTTAAGTCTTTGAGTAAAGTAATTCAAATAATTCATTTTAATTTAAGTACTCTGTATAATGTTCACTATTTCAATAAGCTTGACAATTGTTTCTTCTTCTCTCTTGTTAATGCATCTTCAATTTCATTCTTCATAATATCTTCTACATCTATCTCTTCAATCTTCTTGACTAACTCTGCATTTGATACTAGTGCTTCATCAAGCAAGTGTCTTTTATTATTATATTTCAGTAACATGATCTTCTTGATAATCAATGCATAAAGCTGTAATTACTGATAGTGACAGATGTCTCTTGCAGTGTTGAACACACATTTAATATTTATTTCTGTCAACAGTATGACCAGAATGCCTCTAATCATGTGAGCAACTGTTAAGAAGATTAACTTCAGATTTTGTCACTGTTTTAACAGTGACAAAAATTCTGTGGTCAAATTCTCATTATTGAAATATAATTTCATCTTATTTTGAGTCTTCTCTTGATCTCTAAATGATTATTTGAAAAAAATATTTTCAATATTCTAACAATAACATCAATATGAAGTAAATTATTACTTAAATAATGACACATCTCATTATGATCTGCAATCATCTTTCTTGACTTCTCATATTATTAATAATACTTCTTATAATATGTGAAAATGTGCTGTTGATATCTTTCATGTTTCTTCTTTTTTCAATTCTCAGAATTATATGCTCTTATATAGTGAATTGAGTGAAGAACAGTAGCTACTGTCAAAAGCTCATTTTTAGAATACTCTGTATCTTTATAATATTTTTGAAACTTTAGTTTGACAGCAGTTATAATTTTTTTAATATTATTTCAGTGTCTTATTGTGAGTCTACTCTTCTTCTCTTTCAAATGAGTAAATAAATAATTGTAAGTTGCTCATATTATATGAATTGTTGACTCTTTTGTCTTTGATATTGTTTTTGTATAATTGTTGAATGACAGTAGAAGTTTGATCATGTACTGCATCTGACTTCATTTACTATTAGATAGCTGTAGAGTCTGATAGTTGATCACTGAATTTTGATTTCATGCATTAGTGGCTTTATAAAAAACTAATACTTGTACATACATCTTATATGTTAAATTTCATCAGATTCAGACATTCTGAATCATCTTTCACTTATTGATTTATTGATAGTCTTGAAATTGAGCTGCAAGTTAAGATGATGTGTTGATGATATTGATCATGAGTTGAATCTGAAGTCAATTATATGATTAGTAAATTGCTTCAAATGTGTCAGAACTGTTATTAAAATTTATTACTTTTTTAAGTGTATTTGTAAAAATATTATTTGATAAGAAATTCTTCTGAAGATTATCTTCATCAAATATTGTTGACAATATATTATTCTCTGATTGAATCTTGAGCTTGCAGACAAGCTCTCAAATCACAAGTTATATCACATGAGTCAGACAGAAAATTATTTCAGTTTTCAAGTTTCATTCAGCAGATTTATTCAATCTTATTAATATTGACTGCAGTTGTTTCTTAAGCTCTGATTGCATTATATTGTTATTCAATACATTATCACTTGTGATTGCTAAAGCTGATACTCTAGCTTTCATGTATTCAGACATTTTATAAGAACTTCTGTCATGCTCTTTTTCATATGAGCTTTATTTAAGCTCTCAAACTCTAGTAAATACTTCTAATACTCTCAGTTCTTTATAATATAATATTTATTGATTATCATAAAAGCAAGATTGTTGAAACTTGATTAATTATTCACTGTTAAAGATATCTTTGTTATTGTGTTGAGATCAGTTAACAATATGTTGAACTGATTATTGTACATGATGTTCATGATCTGATACAGTATCTTGTGAGTTGAAATATTGTTTATCATTAAAAAATTGAGTATTGACATCATTATCTTGAAGACTGGATTTTCAATTGTGTGGAAGAACATGTTCAGAAATATTAAAATTTGAACAAGTTGCTGCTAGAAGTTTTGTGAATTGCATTCAGAAATAGATGATGCATTTTAAGAATATTTTTGATTGAACTTTTAAGATATCAGAACTGTTATCAAATTTCATTATTTTTTATATAAAAATATAAAATAATCACTTATCATCATCTGCTGTAGATTTTGAAATTCATCATCTGTCTTGTCACACTCTACACTTTTTAGATGTTTCTTCAATTCACTTGTATTATTTTGAGTAAAGTCTGAATGCTTGAGAACTGTCTGATAATTCTTGTAAATTATCACTAAGTTATCACTTAAAATCTCAGCTGCTTGCTCATATTAAGTTCAGAAGTTGAAGTAATAATTCTTAACAGCTTAATTTAAGCTGTGATTTTTCTTCTCCTCAATCAACTGAGCAGCATCTGTTACTGATCATCAGATAGTGAAGAACTTTGAGTTTTCTGATTTTCATTTAACATACACAACTTTATCAATTTGAATCTAAGTCAATTCAGATGGAACATCAGTAAAGAATGAGATATCATTATCAATAACAACAGACTCTTGAGAGACTTTTATTTTGGCAACTTGACAATGAATCTGAAGTTGAAGAATATTAAATTATGAGAGAGCAGAATGAAGAGTTTTATCACTTACATTACAGAAAAAGTTTTTCATGCTTTATTGATCTATATTATAGACAGAATATTCCAGTAATGGTTTCTTTTATTAAGAGAGTATCTGTCAAATTGCTTGTTTATGGAGGAAATATTTGCTGAAGACTTTTCAATTAAGATAATTAAACTAAAATGCTTTTAAACATCAATAATTCAATCATTCTTCTTCTCATCATTCTTCTTCTCTTCATCAGAAGAAACAACAATCTCAAACTTCTTCTCATTTATTTTTTCTGATGATGATAGTATTTTCTTTTTCAATAAAGTCTGTAAATAACTCTGAAATGTCTTCATCTTCTTCTTCATCTTATTCTTTGACAAATCAGCAGCAGCAAGATGATTGTACTCATAAGTCAGAACTTTAACTTTGAAAGCAGTCATCATTGCATGAGTGTGAATCTGAATGCACACAGCAATTAGATGTGCAGCAAGTTTAATTTTAATCTAAATGTGTTAGAATTATTATCAAATTGTATTACTTTTTAATATATCTTATTCTAGATTTCTTCTTATGTCTGTATGATTTCTTTATTATGCTTCTTCTTCTCTTCAATCTTCTGCTTCTCACAGGTCACTAGCATCTGATGCTTGTAGTATTTCTTGAATTTGCTCTTGACAAATTACTTGACTATAAGTTCTTCAATAATCTGATTCTTTATTGTCTGATGCTTTTGCTTATTGACATTCTTTCTAATAATCTGTGTCAGTACAGTATAAATCAGTTTGCTGCTGATAGTCTGATACACACCATGACTTCTTGACTTAAAGCTTGCAGAGAGTGTCATGACACATCTTGCAGTTAATCTCTCTAGCTTTAAAAATTTTATAATTCTGCTCAGAAAGAGAA